CAAGTAAGCGCGCTACAGCTGTTTGATGCATGCAAGAACCATGTTCGATGAATGAGAAGACTGCTGGAGGGCCACAAATCTAGCTTGACAGGTAGTTCACGACGATTATTCTGCGCTCAACGAGAGATAACTGACCAATCCACGGCTTGTCTCGCTCTGGTCTCATAGCCACCTACACTTCGCCAGTTACTCAATGATACTTATGGACTCCCCAGTCTGTTCCCCACAACCCTCTATAGTATCGTTGGGGACTCAGGGTAGCCTTGGTTGATATCACCCTTAGCCTCTCACCCGACATATGTGCCTTAGCTCAGCAGAGGTGGTACCGGTACATGTTTTGCACCCCAAGCTACGGGTTGCTTGCAAGCTTTCTAATTCTCGTTCGCCACAAGCAGCTAAGAGTCCTGAAACCGAGGCTAGCAAGACGCGTGTATAGATGCAGCATAGGCATATCTTGAACATCAAGTATAGCAGCGTCATGATTTGCTCTTTCTTCTCGTCGCCAAAATCTCATCTGTGCCCGCTACTGGGGAGACTCGATACAAGGCTAGAAATAGAATTAAAAAGCCCCAGGTGGAGAGCGCGAGGAGACGGTGTAATCAATGTTCATGTCTGTACGAATAGGTATGTACCGTTCGGCGAGGATGTCCTGGCATCAAGGTTTCCGTCAGCACCTTGCCCCTTCAGGGTGTCATGGATGTATTACCTCTGCAAGACGGCGCCCTGGGGTACTTGGAGTGTGGCTGGAGGGCGACCCCCTTCCACAGTCTACCTGTCCGTACCTACAGGCCGCTCAACGCCCGAGTCGCCCAGTCATCTCCGCTCGCCAAGTGGCATTACGCATGCACACGCACCCGTGGACCTGTAGAGGTGGGTGTGCGACACTTCAAAACGGGCACGCAAGTATTGCCGCCCATTACCATAGCTAGTGCCGATGCCACTGCCAGTTGCCAATGCCTTGTTTCTACCAACATCCGATCACACCGACCTGGACAAACTTTACTCGTCTCCAAACACCATTTCCCGCATCTTGACTCTCAATCATCACACCGAGCCCATCGTCACTAAACAAAAGAGGGAGAAGAAAAACGCTACTTGATAGTTCGCCTCCGCGACCTCGCGTAACAAGACCCATTCGACCGTCTTCTGGGCCACCCTTCCAAGCTGCTGGCGAAGTCGGCCGTTACGACCCGTAACCCTCAGTGAACCCCCCCAAAACGAGAACCGACCCTTGGCCTGCGACGCTCAGCGCTCAGCCGCCATTCGATTCGTGGGACCGTACTGTCGTCACAACCGCCCCTCCCACATCTAACCCTTTGCTTTTCCATCGTCGGCAGGTATTGTTGCTTGGCCGCGCATCAATCTCGCCGTCCATCAGCACTGTCAACAACGACCGAGTCTTTGTGCTTTTGTCCGTCGCATCATTATTCCGCCTGCGTTGGGCCCAAGCGCTCTGCCGCCCAATCGCACCTGGCTACCTTACCTTACTCTTACGCTGTCGTCCAGTGCATCTGGCAGCCCACTTTCCCCGAACCACATCCAACCTCCTGCCAGACCGGGCATCGCGTGCCAATCCCATCGTTCCTCATCCACAGATACCATTACCCACCCAGCTTTCCGTTGACGACGATACACAACCGCCAAAATGTCCAAGGTCATGCGAAGCGTCAAGAACGTGACCAAGGGTTACTCCAGCGTCCAGGTCAAGGTCAGAGAAGGTGCGTCGCTCTGCTCGCTTCCTTCCGCCTCTCCTTGTTTATGCCGTTGCTAAACATGCATTTTCAGCCACCAGCAACGACCCATGGGGTCCGACCGGAACTCAGATGAGCGAAATCGCTCAACTTACGTACAATACGTAGGTGTTCCGTACCCACACGAGCCAGGCCGAATACTGAATATGATGACAGATCCACCGAGTTCTATGAGATCATGGACATGCTCGACAAGCGATTGAACGACAAGGGAAAGAACTGGAGGCACGTCCTGAAAGCGTTGAAGGTCCTGGATTACTGCCTGCATGAGGGTTCCGAGCTCGTCGTTACATGGGCGAGACAGAGCATTTACATCATCAAGACATTGCGCGAGTTTCAATACGTTGATGAAGACGGTAGAGACGTTGGCCAGAACGGTACGCGACATATAGACCTCTTGTCACCACTTCTGGGCTTGCTTTGCTGACAACTGAATAGTGCGTGTCGCTGCCAAAGAACTCACAGCCCTCATCTTGGACGAGGAGAGGCTACGAGCCGAGAGAAGCGATCGCAAGTCATGGAAGTCTCGCGTCACCGGCCTTGAAGAGTTCGCACCTCAGCATACTAGCCCTACGCAGCCCCGCGTCCGTCGCCGGATGAGTAACGAGGACGACACCGAGTATAGACTTGCCATCGAGGCCAGCAAGCACCAGGAGGAGGAGGATCGCCGGAAACGAGCGAGCCGCGCTGCTCACGAAACCGAAGACGACGATCTTGCCAAAGCCATAAAGCTGAGCAAGGAGGAGGACGAGCGACGCCGACGTGAGATGGAAGATACCAATGCTTCACTACTCTTCGATGACACCCCCGTCCAGACGACGCAACCCCAATACACCGGCTTCAACCAAGGGTATCAGCAGGGAAGTGCCGTTGACTTCTTTGCGAACCCCATCGACCAAAACCAGCTTCAGCCGCAACCCACTGGTTACATGCCCAATGCCTACACAGGCTATCAGCAGCCACAAGCGACCGGTTTCCCCAACGGCTACGGTGGTGGTGTGTATGGAATGCAGCAAAACATGTCTGATCCCTACGGCCAGCAGCAGCAGGGCTTTCAACCGCAGCCAACGGGCTACAACCCCTATGCTCAAGCACAGGTTCAGAGTTCCGCCCTCCAAGAACCTGTTGCACAGCCTGGAAGCAACAACCCGTGGTCCACTGGCTCGATGAAGCCGGCCAACCCGATGAAGCCCATGCAGACGGGCTCAAACAATCCGTTTGCCTCGTCGTTTAGCCGGCCGCACCCCCAGAGCCAGTCGTCCATGCCCGCTCTACCTGAGCAAAAGACCCTATCCACTTTTAGCCAGCCCAGCTATAGCCAGCCAAGTTTCAACCAACCACAGACGAATTCCAACCAAGGCACCAACACGTTCGGGGCCCCGCAGAAGGAGCTTACTGAGCATGAGGCGAAGCTCAACGCTCTGCTTGCTGGAGGAGACGGTATGGACACGTTCGGCAACACGGGTCAGACGCGTATCCCCGCGCAGCACACAGCCCCTGGGACGTTCGTCAACAGCGCGGGCACCGGGGCGCAACGTCTTACGGCGGAAGCAACCGGGAGCAATCCATTCCTTCGATCGCAGTATACAGGCATGCCCAACATCTCTTACGGCGGTACGCAAATGCCTGCCGCGACGGGTCCCGCTGGTATCAATGGAAGCAACAACCCATTCGCAGCAACAAGGCCACAGCAGCAGAACTCCCAGCCGCAAGACCTCATTCAATTCTAGATTGTGTTCCGTGGGTACCAGTGAGCCGGTCCATGCCAGCTGCTAGCGATCGGCATTATCAACGTAGGTCGTAGTTGGCGTGATTACTAAAGATAGTTTCTTATTGTTAGAGAATTGGGGAAGGGGGATTTGTTTTGCAATGCGGATACATACCCGTCAGAGGACTCAACTTGTTCCTGTTCATAGTTGGCTGGCGGTTTGCTCCTCCTTTACATTTACACAGCTTGCGCATAGTGCTCTAACATGAGCCATCTACCTATCTTTTGTATAGCCCGTCATAAGGGTCCTCGAAAAGATGCTTGTCGTGAGGAAATGGGTGCATTTGAAGAACGTCCTTCCGGGCTTCGACATGAATGAATTCTAGAGAATTAAATTGACAATATGCTCATTGTATTTTTTGGTCCATCGTCGGAGTTTTCCATTAGGCTTGGGGATAAACTAATGGGAAACACAAAGGGTACGGGAGGAGGTAGACATCATCGGCGGGCTGGGAAAATTGGTAATCGAGTAGCGTCCGACCCAGCAAATGTACCTACTCATTCCTCATGTCGGCCTACCAGGTAGGTTCCCCACATGAGCTTCTTCCCACTTACGTTCATAAGGTCATTCTTGAGGTCGCAACAATAGGTACCCAAGTGTGGTCTGGTGACCTGACGTGACCAAGCAAGGCGTTCTCTCCTAGGCAGCATGAGCTCGTGATTGGGCAGGCGAGAAGGTACTATTACTAATTAACCTAGGCGGAAGCTACATCCTCCTTACTCTGCTGCTCCTGCCTGGTGTGCTGATCGAGCTCGTTCATTGGTCATCGGTCTCGAGCTCTGTCATTTGGTCGAATCAGAGTCGGAACCTGGTCCTCAGGCAGAAACCGCCGGAAGAGGTAGGTAGGTATACTACGGGAGCTACCACCACTTCTTACTTAAGCGTACCGGCACTATTCTTCGCGCGCCACAGAGACCATTGTTGTCTACCTACCTACCCAACCTCAGTGCAGCCTACTTAAGGTATTTGACTTCTTCGCATCGGAACGCGAAACAGACGTGTCAACCGCCATTGACATTTCCGCAGCGGCAATTTTTCAACGGGCCAGAGGAATTTGCTTGTTAACTTTACTCTCGACTTCTAATCCTTTCTCAATCTCTTTTCGTCCCCCTGCCTGGCCACTTTCGCCCAGTCATCAGAGCGCGCGTGCACCTTCCGCCAGCCCCAGCCACTTTTTCTCCACGTATCTTTCCCTCGCGCGGCACCCATCGAAAGAAAAAAAACTCGACCACCGGCTATACTACCTAAACGCACCTCCTACATCAAGTCACCTCGCCAATCGTTCCAGCCGACGCGCTCATAGGCCATCGACCTCGTCGGCCCTTCCGATCGGATTGCTCTGAATGTCTGTCTGTAATTGATTATCGGCGACATACACAGCGCCCACGAGTTGGCGGACCTTCGCCTCGTCGCGCCATCTATCCTTTCCTCCCCTATCCTTGACCGCATCACAAACCGTCGCTGCTAGTCATTGCTCATCATGTCTGGCTTTGGCAGCACCGGCTTCGGTGGCTTTGGCTCCACCAACAACCAGCAGTCGACTGGTTTTGGAGGATTTGGGGCCAATAACAACTCGGGCACCGCCAGTACCGGTAAGTCGAAATCTGCTTCGTCGCAACATACCTCACCATCCTGTTCCATCATCTCAGCTTCCCCGATGGCCTGCCAACTAACTTCCGTGTGCTTAAGGCTTCGGCTCTGGCAACACAGCAAACAATGCCTTTGGGCCCGCCAGTAACACCAGTACTGGCGGCGGCTTGTTTGGTGCCGGCGGCAACACAACCAGTGCATTTGGCGGCACGTCATCGGGTAGGTTGTTTACACTGTTGTGGGCAGTCTGGTTGAGTCTCGAGCTGGGTTTGAGAGGTTCTTATGCTAACTTTTGCTTCCACAGGCGGCTTTGGATCCAACACCGGCACAGCTTTCGGGGCTGCGAAACCTGCCTTTGGTGCCACCCCGTCCACCGGAGGCGGCCTCTTTGGTGCCTCGAACACTTCCAACAATACAGCTACGCCGTCCACCTTTGGCGGCTTCGGTGCCAACACAACAAACACCTCATCCCCGTTTGGAGGAGCCTCTTCTGGCGGAGGACTGTTTGGCGGTGCCAGCAAACCCGCTTTTGGCTCTACCACCAACGCCAGCACTCCTGGTACCACATCGTTATTTGGTGCTGGAAACACCTCAGGCGGCTTTGGCAGTACCACCACCGCCGCCGGTGGTGGCTTCGGTGCATCGATGAACCCCGGCATCGGTTCCAATGTCGGTGACCCGCCAGGTACCGCACTCACTCCTTTCCAAGCACACCAAGAGAAGGAAACTACGGGAGCAGGCAACCAGTCGAACTCTTTCCAAAACATTTTATTCCAGGAGCCGTACAAGAAGTGGTCGTCCGAGGAACTGAGACTGGCTGACTATGCACAAGGACGCCGTCACGGCAATGCTAGTGGTACAGGTGCTTTCGGCGTTTCCAACTTCGGCAGTGGTGGGTTCGGCTCGACAACTAACCAGCAATCCTCGGGCTTCGGAACGGGCGCATCCGCCGGAGGTGGCCTTTTTGGAGGTGGAAGCAACACCGCCAACACATCAACGACCAGCGGTTTCGGCGGTGGCTCTACGGGAGCATTCGGTTCTGGCGGTGGTGGTCTTTTCGGAAACAGTGCTGCTAAGCCGGCTACCGGAGGCCTTTTTGGCAGTGGCACTACAGCCACGTCGCAGCCCGCCCAGTCCGGCGGGCTCTTCGGCGGCGGGGCAAGTACCGGAAGCGGCTTCGGAACTACGGGCACGACTGGCGGGTTTGGCTCCACAAACGCAAACACAGGTGGCGGTCTTTTCGGCTCGAACACCAACAACACAACCCAGAACAAACCGACAGGCTTCAGTTTTGGGAACACCGGAGGCGGCACTACCGGTGGTTTTGGAAGCACCACAAACAGTGGCTTCGGGGCGAATAGTAACACTACCAATAACACCGGCTCCACCGGTGGTCTGTTCGGCAACGCTGGCCAATCCGCGGGTGGTGGGCTTTTCGGGAATAACCAGTCGCAGCCCCAACAGCAAAACACGGGCTCTGCATTCGGTGGAGGTGGAGTCTTCGGCGCACAGCCTCAGCAGGCGAGCGGCGGGCTTTTCGGAAACAACCAGCAGAAGCCGGCAGCGGGTGGCGGTCTTTTTGGAGGTGGCGGAGCGTCAAGTACTGGAGGAGGTCTGTTTGGAGGTGGGAGCACTACCTCAAACACGTTTGGTACTACCAACACAAATAACACCACCGGCGGTGGACTCTTTGGAGCAAAGCCAGCAGCCACTGGCGGCGGTCTCTTCGGATCTAACACGACTGGCCAGAACACAAACAGTGGAGGTGGCCTTTTCGGCGGCAGCTTGGGCGCAAACAATCAGCAGCAGCAGCAACAACAACAAACCGGACAGTCATCACTATTCGGCGGTGGACAAAATCAGACGAAGCCAGGCGGGCTTTTTGGCTCAGCTCAGCCTGCGGGCGGCAGCTTGTTTGGAGGTCAGAACACGCAGCAGCAGAGCTCCTTGTTTGGAAACAACAACCAGCAGCAGCAGCAGCAGCCCCAGAATTCATTCCTCGGAGGCTCGCTCCTGGGCAACTCCCAAGGTGTCAATTCCGGTCCACAGTCTCTCACGGCCAGTATCAACGATGTGTCTGCGTACGGCTCGCCCTCCTTGTTTTCCAACCTCGGAGGATCCGAGACGCCAAACCCAGGCCCACTTGCTACACCTCTTTCTAGCAAATCCAAGCCTAGACGCAGCTCCATTCTACCCATGTACAAGCTGAATCCTGCGTCGGCCGCTCGATATGCGACGCCTCAGAAGAGGGGTTTCGGATTCTCTTACAGCACCTACGGTACTCCTGGTGCCAGCCCTTCAAGCGCAGCAAGTACTCCCGGCGGTACTAGCCGGAGTCTGCTCGGCTCCTCGTCCATGAACCGAAGCTTGAGCAAAAGCGTGTCAACCAGCAACCTAAGGAGAAGCTTTAATACCGAGGACAGCATCCTTGCCCCCGGTGCTTTCTCGGCCAGCTCTGGACCTCGTTACTACGGTCAGAATGGCAGTGTGAAGAAACTGATCATTAACAAGGACATGCGGAGCGATCTGTTCTCGACCCCTACGAAGGAGAAGCCCTCTTCCGACCATGCCAATAGCTCTCGTAAGTTGTCCAAGAGAGTCAGTTTTGACACGAGCACGATGGATGCCTCCGAAGGTAGCAACGAAAATGACACCACGTCTACCCATCGAGGTGATGCGGTTACACAGAAGGCAGCGCCCGCCGGTGTCAGTGTCAACGGAACCACATCAGCAGCCGGAACACCCGAAGGCTCGGACCCAAGCAAGGGCAAGGAGCTTGCCATAGTCCATGAGGAGGATGCGTCCTCACAGCCTCCCGGAGACCATAAGGAAGGTTTCGATGCAGCCCCTGGCGCCTACTGGATGAGCCCCACCAAGGAGGTGCTTGCTTCCATGAATAGAGTGCAGCGCCAGGCAGTCACAGGCTTTACAGTGGGCAGGGACAACGTTGGCAGTGTGCAATTCAAAGTACCTGTTGACCTTACAAACATCGACCTGGATGAGATTTTTGGAGGCATCGTTATCTTGGAAACCCGCTCGGCGACTGTCTATCCCATCGCAGCCAAAAAGCCTCCTGTGGGTAAGGGCTTGAACGTTCCAGCTACCATTTCTTTGGAGCAGTCTTGGCCGCGTGGCAGAGACAAGCGGCCCAGCAACGACGCCAAACGCTTCCACAAGCACGTGGAGCGCCTCAAGCGCATTGAGAACACAACGTTTGAGAGCTACGATACTGAAACTGGCATTTGGAAGTTCTCGGTTGAACATTTCACTACGTATGGTTTGGATTACGACGAGGACGAGGATGAGGCTGAGCAACATGCCGACGAGCCGTCCCGCGACGATGCATCTTTCAGCAATGTCTCCCAACAGGACTCGGACGATTCCGAGTCTAGCCCACAGGAAGATGACACATTCGATTTTCGCAGGAGCAAGCGTCGCGCTCTCCCTGGTGCGTTCGATTATCGGGACGAAGACTTTGACGAGGTTGAAGACACGCAACGACCTGCCCAGCGTCAGTCTTTTTTAGGGGATAGCTTCGCGGGTTCGACGTCCAATGCGCTAATTCTGTCGACGGAAGAGGAGGCAGACGACCAGGACATCGGATATGGCATGTCTGAGGATGAGGACACGGCGGGAACCCCCCTCAGACGCCATCTAGCCGCGGAGCAGAGAAGCGAATCGCCAGAGAGTGATGCTGCAGCCCCAGTACTCGAAACACCGGGTGGCATTCTCAGAGCTAGAATGCGGGCACTGAAGGGCTCGGCTACTCCAATGAGACTTCAGGTCGCAGGAGGAGACGAGTGGATGGATATGCTCCAACGCTCTGTTAGTCCTCAGAAGAGAGACAGAGCATTGCTCCGGAGTGTGAACGAGGCAGCATTGCGACCGGCTGTCGAGGAAGTTGAGGCAACAGAACAGAAAAGCCGAGTTGTGTCTGACGGACGCGGGTTTGCTACAAGCATCGACCTGATGAACTCGCTATTTGAGAAGGCCAAGGCTCCCGCCCCGCCTGCACCTGCGCCTTCGAGAGGATTCGTTCAGGTTGGTGAATACTTCATGGTCTAAGGATTGTCTGACCCCGTTTGCATTGCGTGGGTTGCATTCTGAATGGCCCTCCTGTATTTAAGATGTGATCACTGTGACTAAGGCGAATATCAATCTAGTGGCCCTATGAACGACAAAATAAGTCCTTCGTTGACCAGTCCGACATGAGTGACGCCGACCGCTCCTTTTACAACTCAATGCGGCCCAGCTGGGGACCCGACGGAACTCTGATTTTTGCCTCCAGGCGCTCATCTCTCGAGGGCGCTGGCAGACAAAACATGGCCGACAGCCTCATGATCACCAAGAATGTCATCCAAGCTCAGGGTCGCAACATACAATCAGCCAAGTTTTCCAATGAGGTATGCGTCAATTCCGGGTGGGAAATACCAAGATGTTACCTAACCTGCAAATAGTCGTCCGCAAAAACACTTGAGAACCAGATCCAGATGACCCGGGTTGAGCTCGCCGGGGGCATTCCGGAGCTGTTGTTACACCCCACGACGCTCAAGTCCCTTTTTCACGATCAGGACGTCAGCAATCCTAGCAACATGCACGAAAAGCTCGTCTGGGAGCTTGCAAGTATTCTCTTTGACACAGTTGGAACCGTCAACAGATCTGCCGAAGCTCAGTCCCGCAGAAACAACCTGTCCCAGTTTTGGGCGGCGCTCGTCGACTCTGCATCGTCGCGATCCATTGCCCTCGCCAGATCGGGCGAAGAAAAGGCGATTGCTGCCTTGTCTGGTCACCGTATTCAAGACGCCTGCAAATATCTTATCGACGGCAAGAACTTCCGCCTTGCCACCTTGGTATCTCTGATTGGGAGCAACGATGAGTCAAAGAAGGACGTGCGCGAGCAGCTAAGCGAATGGCAAGACGCCAACTTCTTGTCTGAGTTTTCCGATCCTATCCGAGCAATATACGAACTTCTCAGTGGCAACTCTTGCGTTTGCGAGGGGAAGAAGGGCGTTCCTCTCGAAGACCGTATTGAGTCTTTTGTCATCTCCAAGCGGTTTGGTCTGGACTGGAAACAGGCCTTCGGCCTTCGTCTCTGGTACTCCATCTCGCGCGAAGATGATATTTCTGCCGCTGTTCGTATATTCCAGGATGACGTTGCCCAAGATAGAGAGCAGCGGCCGCAAACATGGTTTATCGAGCAAGGCATTCCGGCGCTTTGGCAGGATCAGGATCAGGATCAGCGCGAGGACCTCTTGTGGGGTCTTCTCAAACTTTACGCAGACGAGCAAGCCGATTTGGAGGCTGTGTTGCGTCCAGAAAATAGCCAGCTGTCGCCTTTCAACGTCCGTCTCAGCTGGCAACTCAGCCGCGCCCTGCTCTCTACCAATAAGGTCTCTTATGGTCCTGACGCAACTGAAAAGGCCGATGCCTTGACCATCTCTTTCGCCGATCAGTTGATTAACGAAGGAAGCTGGCTCGAAGCTACGTTTGTCTTGTTGCACCTTAGCCAGCCCGAAATGAGGGCCAAGGCTGTACAGGACAATCTCTGCCGCCATGCCGGTCTTCTGGGGCCCGAAACCGGTATCAACTTTATAACTCTTACCAAAACCCTGAAAATCCCGGCGGCATGGATCTGGGAGGCTCAGGCTCTCTACATGAGGGCCGTGAAGAAGGATTCTTCCGCTGAGGTTCAGTGTCTGCTCCGGGCTGGGTCGTACCCAGAGGCCCACGACGTCTTCGTGCACAAGGTGGCACCGTCTGCCGTCATCAGTCGCGACTACGACGAGCTGACAGCGATCCTATCTCGCTTCGAAGGCCACGACGACGACATCGCAGGCTGGACTCTTGGCGGTGAGGTTTACAAGGCGTTCCTTGAACTGGTGAACCGCCGGAGACAACGACAACAAGCTCTTTCTCCCGTGCTCGAAAAGCTGGTTGCAGGTTTACCTGCCATGCGTGAAAACGCCGAGAGTGCCAACATCACGAGCTTGGCAGCTATCTCTGAAATGGGATCGACCGTGGCCAAAGTGATGGGAGAAGCGTCCAGGCAAGAGCAGGTAGGTTGCGGCTCACGAATACTTTTACGTTCGATAGTATACTGACGTGTTTCTTTCGTAGGACGTTCCCCGGGTGTTGGGCCTTCCTCTCACAGAAGACGCTCACCTGAAGCATTCGCTGCACCTGAGCCTTTGCTACTACCAAGGACTGATGGCAGGAGGAACATAAAGGTTTTTTTTTTTTGTTTTTTTTTTTTTGAGACTGGAGGTATGGTGATCTGAGGCGGTGAAAGCAAAGAATACTCTCCGTAGCTGGGCATCTTATTCTCCAAACCCCCAGGGTAGGAGGGGATGGAGCAATAATGTATTATGTTGTAGGTGTAGCTGCATTCTGTAGTAATTAGAGTGCACGCGCATTTCGGTTATAAAACTGTTCACAAGACATGAATTAATTCTTTTGTCCGACTTGCTGGGTGCTTTTTTACGATATCGTTGATTGTCGTGGAGAGTATACCGGATCTGAAATCGCTGGGGTCGTCCGAACATGTACACGCTCTGTCCGGCGTCAAGGCATGGATGAAAACCCTAGCCCGAGCGTCTGAGCAGCAAATGAACGGGTGGGGTCAGCTCTCTGGTTCCTACGGAGCCAGACAATTGCGCCAGTGTCCGTAACTGCTGAACAGAAAACCCTTCAGCCAAGTTGTCCAAAGAAACCTTTCAGCTCAGCCTGCTTGCCTCCCGTATACCGAAGGCCTCGGAACCTCATGGCACAGCCCAAGAACTGGCCTGGTAGGCTGCCGTACCTTTCAGCCCCGGTGCACTCTCGGCTCCTGACCGCAACCCAACGGCAGGCAATTAGCCAGAAGCCGGCAGATGTACCCGACATACCGGCGCAGGCTACGGTGCTCCCGAGTTCGCTGGTTAAGATCACGCCCATCACGGACGACAGACACCCGGCCAAGGGACAGAGCGGACTCTTTGCAACGCGGCACCTCAAGCCGGGGACCTTTGTATTGCCGTATCTGGGCACGGTACACCCAGAGATGCCGTCCGATTCGGATTACGACCTGTGGCTGGACCGGGAGGCTGAGGTCGCGGTGGACGCGGACAAGGGCGGTAATGAAGCGCGGTTCGTGAATGACTATCGCGGGATTGCAGACAGGCCTAACGCGGAGTTTCGCGAGGTTTGGTGTCAGAGGTTTCGGCAGCGGTGTATGGCTGTTTGGGTGCTGCCCGAAGGGAAGAACGGGAGCGGGAAGGGGGGTATTGGCAAGGGGGAGGAGATTCTGGTCAGCTACGGCAAGGGGTTTTGGGGGACTCGGAAGCATGAGCAGGGTTGATGGTTGTTGCTGCACTGATTCGTTTTGCTGGACCAAGAGAGATGTCATACTTTGGAGCATCGTCTAAATACCGACCAGCGCGGGCAAGTCAATCGCATTTGTCAATAAAGTTCAGCTGATAGTTAAGCATATGTGACCAACGAATCGAATGACACTTGAGGCGACACAGATAAGAAGGTTATGTTGGTCGGCAGCGCCAAGCCACCTACCTCTATGGCCTCCTTCATCGTCTTCAGGTGGTCCGTCTTCTTGGCAGTCCATGGACGTCGTTTGCATCATTTTGTTGCAGAGTTTTGGTAGCAAGCAGACGGGGAACCGAGGCCCGACTAACCGTCGCTGAAAGACGGAAAGGCACAGCGTCCACCTTGAAGGTTGCAACGTCAAGTTCATAACACCACCCCTGAAAAGCAGCCAACGAGGCGTCCTCATGATGCAGAGGAGGAGCAGTCAGTCGAGGCTCAGGGGACGCGCGTCCTAGCCAGATACAGGCCCCGAGTCGTCGTCATATTGCAGCCCCCGACTAGACAGGTGGAGAAGTGCGGAATGCCGCACTGGATCTGGCTACGAAGATGCTGGGACAGCACATTACCTGGTTGTTGTTTTCGGTACGGATGGAACTGAATCACAACAGAAACACAACAGCAGGAATCCCAAGGGGAGCATCATATCCCACGCGACAGTAGGCACATACATACATGCCCTTCCTTGAGTGGACGCTTGTCCATCCTACGACCTAGATAGAAAGATGGTGGGGCATCGCGACTGTTTGGCTACGACTTGGGCCGTAGATCATATTCATAAATCAGGCTGCCGTGTCTTCGGCCCCGCCCAGACCTCGAATAGGTAGGTACCTAAGGACAAGCTCGCCCGGGCTCATAGTAGTGCCAAGTCTTGCCAGAGGCGCGGTCAGTTAAGCGAGGTCGATGGAATCCGAGCATAACATACATACCTGTACGTGATCAGCGAGCGGGATGAACCTGGACAAGGGGCGGGAGACAAGTCTGGCCCGGACTTCGGGACAGTTATTCTAGTTCAGTGGAGAAGCGCCGTAAACACGACGCCCGGCGTCCACACAGATTGTGCTAGTGGCGTTCGGCGCGTTCAAATCCTCTACATCACTCACCACCGGCACCGATGTTTTTGTGTCCGCAAAGGTCACAAGTTTGTAGCCGCTCGTGTCTTGCTCCATTTCGCTGTTTCAGTGTTTCTGCAATCTTCCACTCGGCGGGCAACCCCTAGTTCAATGAGTTCATCCCGACGTCGCCCCTCCCACCGCTCGAGACATCCCATCACCTTGATCCAAACCACCTGTCTTTCACCTCCCTATCTTGAGGCGTCACCAACACCAACATCACTGTACATATCCTATGTCGCCAGCGACTTGGCCTAATTTGCGCCTCTACCTTTACCCTTGTTTTCGGAGTTCTGACAGCGTCGCGCTTAGATCTTAGATAGACTGCGCTGATAGTCGGAGGCAGAAAGCTCGAGTGCCCGTCACCATACCTGGATCGACTCAATCGCATACTTCCTCGACAACGACACCCAGTAAACAAGAGACCGATTCGAGCGTCCGCCCCCCTCGGCGACTCTCGCCAACAATGGCGTTCCTTCGCCAGACGTGGACCCTCACGGTGAAGAACTGGGCCATCATCTTTCGCCACGCCGTCGCTGCCGTCTTCATCGCATTCATCCTGCCCATAGCTCTGACGACCTTCTTTAGCTTTGCAAAGAATCTATTCGTGCCGCCGGCCGTCTTTGGCATCTCAGATCCGAGAAGCATTCGATCCCTTCCGGACGCTCTCAACGTTGCAGCAGATTCCGGTCGAGAAACCGTCGTGTTCGTAAACAACGGTTTCTCTGGAGGTGACATCGACAGGGTCATCGACGCCCTAGCAACCTCTGTTGAAAGCGCCGGCAAAACGGTCCTCCGCCGCTCGTCCACTGCCGATCTTGGAACCGACTGTCCCACCAACCTCCGCGGTGTCTCTCAATGCTACGGGGCCGTCGTGTTCCAAGCCTCTCCGTCCGAGGGCCCAGGCGGCTACTGGAACTACACGCTCCGCAGCGACGGAGCTCTGCGAAGCATTGTTGTCGATGTCGACTCGGACAAAAACGATGCTCAGATCTATCTGTTGCCGCTACAAAGAGCGGTCGATGTTGCTATTGCTTCCATCCAGTCCGGCTCATCGTCCGGGTCCGGGCTGTCCCAAGTAGAGCAGGGTTCTCTCCCAGAGACCGTCAACGAATACCCTTTCACGTCTATAACCCAGGAGGAGCGTGCTGTGAGAATCCGCATCAACTATCAAAGTGCCATCACCAACTGGATGGGCGTGGCATTTATGACGAGTGTCCTTTTCGTCACATACCACCTCACAGGATTCATCGCAACCGAGCGTGAAGGTGGCATGATTCGTCTCGTCGATGCCATGATGCCCGTCAAACGAAGGTGGCACGCGCAGGCTGCCCGTGTCATCTCCTACCATGTCTCATTTAGCCTGATCTACATCCCAGGTTGGGTCATTGGGTCATTGGTGCTGCGCGCTGGTGTTTTTGCGCGAACCGGCGTCGGAATCGTCTTGATATACCACCTTCTCAACGGAATCGCCATGGTGTCCCTCTCTATCTTGACCTCGTCGCTCTTCAAGAAGGCTCAGATCAGTGGCATCGCCGCCATACTCGCCATCATGCTCCTCGGCATCCTTGCACAATCCATCTCCTACCCGAGCACTGCCGCTGTGGGACTACTTAGTTTTCTCTTTGCGCCCTGCAACTATGTCTACTTCATCACATATATGGCGAGATGGGAGCGAGAGGACTTGCCAACCAACCTGGCCAAGGTTGCCCCAGGTAGCCCGTGGCTGCTTTCCGGTATTGTTCTATGGGTATTCCTGATTATTCAGATCTTTGCCTACCCTTTACTTGGGGCCCTGATCGAGTCATCCCTTCATGGAACTACTACGAAAGGTAGGAAGATAATCCTGAAGTCGCCTGACAATCGGAATGACGGAACGGCGGTCGGCGAACTACGGCAGGACGATGCTGCTGTGCGTTTGCAAGGTTTCACCAAGATATACCGTCCTTCCTCAATCCGTCGTCTGTTTTCTTTCATCTCGCGCCCTCGTGACCCGGTTTGTGCTGTCGACAACCTGACTCTAGATGTTCGCAGAGGACAGATTCTTTGTCTGTTGGGCGCCAATGGCTCTGGAAAGTCCACGACACTGGACTCGATCGCTGGCACGAGCAAGCTTACAAGCGGCACCATCACCATTGATGGCACTGGCGGACTCGGGATTGCACCTCAGAAAAACGTCATGTGGGACGACTTGACGGTTGAGCAACACATCGAGATCTTCAACAGGCTCAAGTCCCCTGGGCAGATCGCTTCCAAGCAGGAGATCCGAGACCTCATCAGGTCTGTCGACTTGGAGTTGAAAGGCAAAGCCATGTCGAAGACGTTGTCTGGAGGTCAAAAACGCAAACTGCAGCTGGGCATGATGCTTACTGGAGGAAGTGCTGTCTGCTGCGTCGACGAAGTCAGCAGTGGCATTGACCCTCTCTCTCGACGTAAGCTCTGGGATATTCTCTTGGCTGAAAGGGGTCGAAGGACAATAATCCTCACAACGCATTTTCTGGACGAAGCCGATCTCCTTGCCGATCATATCGCCATTCTGTCTAAAGGCACCCTCCGTGCTGATGGCTCCTCGGTGGAGCTAAAGGACCGTCTCGGCGGTGGGTATCGAGTCCATATGCACAAGGACACAGGACTTAAGAACGCTCCCGATGTAGAAGGAGTTCAAAAGAAGATTTCTTTTGACCTCATCAGCTATATCTCGCCGTCTTCAGCCCTGGCCGCTAAGGTGATTCGCACTCTTGAGACATTTGGGATTCA